CTTCAGCCACCTCTGTAGTAGTTATGGTCTTTAAGGGTATGGCTTCAGGGAAACTCGAAGCATAATCAACTAAAGTTAATATATATCTATGTCCCCCAGATGAAAGTGATGATAAAGGACCAACGATGTCAATAGCTACTCTTTCAAAAGGTACCGTAAAGATTGGCATTTTGACCATAGGTACTCGCCTGGTACCTCGGGAGGATGACAGTTGGCAAACTTTACACGATCTACAATATGTAGTGATAACTAAGGACATTTTGGGCCAAAAATAGGTTTCCCTAATTTTATTTAAGGTTTTACGATGCGAGAAATGTCCGGCCACTGGCAAGTCATGAGCCATTTTAAGAACAGTCTCTCTGCATTGACTTGGAACAACTAAGATGGAATAGTCTATCTCATCTGAATTTAATTTGAATACTGATTTATACAAGATACCTTTTATATATTCAAATTTATATGAAAAGTTTTTCCTTTGGATAACTTGATTTTGTCAAGCTGCATTATGGCAATTCTGAAGAGAAGGGCAATTACATTGTAAATTGACAAAGGAGTCCTTCGATATATCTAAAGGCTTAAAGTCAGGGAAAACCAAAGGATGGACAGTAGGAGAAGCCTGGGCTTTGGTCTGAGCCCTAGTCAAGACATTTATAGTATCGGAGGCGATATTCTCACTTTCATCTAACAAATGAACTGGTGATCCTACTACCTCGCTTTCGAGAGTAGTATCAGTGTTTTCTAACCCCAAATGAATATCACGAGACATTGCCTCATCTGAACTGTCGAGGGGCTTTTCTGACTTTACAGGAAGAGGAGCAGGAAAACTTATGTCCATCTTTGGTGATGAAAGGTCAACCCCAGAAGGAAGAATGGCGCCTTTTACATTACCTATTAGTACGGAGCAAGAAGTGATGGGAGCTACAACACTTGAAACAAATCCTCAGTCCAGCACTTGGTGATGTTTCGGAGAGATTGCTGTATGAACTCACCAAATTTTCCAATGTGTGCCTGGCTGACAGTGTCCCAGATGTCTTTTGACCCCTCTTCTTTGGTGACTCACTATGTGCCCTCCAGAAAAAGATGGAGGATTCACAACCATTGCAATGGACAACACCCAGCAGCGCCTAGTCACCAAGGCTGCAGTAAGAATGGTTAGTCAAGAGGCTGCCGCAATGTTGCAACCAACTCAGCTCGGTTTTGATGTTCAACAAATCTGTGAAGCAGCTGCCCATGCAGCATGAGTATACACATTAACAACATATCAGATGAAAAAGCCTTGATCAAATTGGATTTTACCAACGCTTTCAATTTAGTAATAAGGGATGCTGCTCTTCAAGCAGTTTCTAGACACTTCCTTTCCCTCTATCCCTTCTTATAGTCGTGTTGTAGTGTGACTTTTAAACTCTTGTTTGGGGACCATGAAATTGACTCATGTGAGGGTGTGCAGCAGGAGGACCCTCTTGCCTCCTATCTGTCTGGTCGTGAAGGAGGTCACAGAAGTGCTCTCCAGTGAGCTCAATATCCGGTTCTTGAATGATGGTACCCTAGCTGGCACTACAGAATCTCTCCTAGAGGACATCAGAAAAATTAAAGACATGGGAGAGAGCCTGAGCCTATCTTCAAGCCCCACCAAATGTGAAATAGTTCCTACCAATTGACAGATGATCCAGAATATTAGCGCCGTTTTACCAGTAGCATGAACCATTGATCCCGCCAACAGCACTCTTCTTGGTACTACTCTTGGGCCCAGTGCCATTGATCTGATCCTAGAAAGAAAGGTCTCAAACCTCAGGATGATGGAAGGCAGGATGAAAGACATTGATACACATGATGCCTTCTACCTACTCGCCAGGTGCTTGTCAATCCCAAAACTTACCTACTTCCTGAGATGCTCCCCAGCCTTCAGCAGTCCGAAACTCAAGGAATATGATTCCCTCCTAAAGACCATGCTAGAGAGTGTATTGAATATTTTCCTTGAAGATGGACAGTGGTTCCAAGCCTCACTTCCAGTCAGGCTTGGGGGACTGGGAGTAAGCAAATCCTCCCAGATTGCCCTTCCAGCTTTCCTATCCTCTTCCATAGCATCAAACGAGTTAATAAAATAAATTCTTCCAGACAAACTCAGTGACTCAGCAGGAATACAGGATCCTTGCTACACCAGTGCCATTACTAAATGGGAGACTCTTTCTGCTCCATTACCAAAACCTATTGCAGCACTGGCCTTCAAACAGTCAAGTTGGGATGGTCCCATCGTTGAAAAGGTACTTGCTAACATGCTTAGGGATGTAACATCAGACAGGGAGGCTGCCCGTCTCCAAGCTGTGAGTACAATTCACCATGGGGAACATGCCTCGACCCTAGGACTCTCTGCTTTCTGCCTCGCTGCCCTAATTCACACGGAATATGCATGAATTTGTGGCGATGCGCAAGACAACCAATATGGTCACCACCGCTACTCCCCAAATCCCAACATGCACATTGCACTTTCACTGATGCAGAAGCAACGGTCTGTTGCAGGGGATTGTCACAACTCTGTAATCTCCGGTGGATACTCACGATGATGTCTGCCGAAACTGAATGGGAGACTCTCGCTGCTCCAGCACCAAATCCTAGCGCAGCACTGGCTCACAGTCAAGCTGGGATGGCCTGATCGCTAAAAAGGTGCTTTTTAACATGCTCAGGGCTGCAACATCAGGTAGGGAGACTGCCCATCTTTAGGCTGTGAGCACACTTCACTCCGAGGACTTCCTCCAAATAGTTCCCATATTGGCAATGGGAACGCGACTCGACCCGTAGACCCTCCATATTGCAGTGGCTCTGCGCCTTGCTGCCCCAATTCACACAGAATATACGTGCATTTGTGGCAAAGTGTAAGCAGACCAATACGGTTTACATGGTCTTAACTGTTCCAAAACCAAGGGCTGGCATGCAAGACACAATGAGGTCAACGACATCATAAAGAGAACCCTTGCTACAGCTGGATGCCCAGCCGAGAGGGAGCCCCGATCACTAGCAGCCAACAATACCCACAACCCAGCAAACCGCTCAAACGGGATCACCATCTATCCTTTGAAGAATGGCAAGCTCTTAGCATGGGACTATACCTGTGTGTCAACACTGGCTGACACCTATATCCATCACAGTGTCGGCCCACAGGGAGGAGTACAAGATCAGCAAGTACAGGGACATAAGCCAACAGAATCAATTTGTCCCAGTGGGATCAGAGACCTTGGGATTATGAGGAAAAAATGCCACACATTTCCTTAAAGAATTGGGTTCCAGACTCATTGACACCACCAGGGACCCAAGAGCAGCCACTTTCATGTTCCAGCGCCTCAGCGTGGCTATCCAGAGGGGAAATGCTTGCTGCATACTTGGCTCGCTTCCAGCTTCAGAGAAGCTGCAGGAAATTCATGATCTCTAATACATTTACCATTGCATTTATGTTTGTGTTTTCTGTAAATGTATCATGTTTATTAATAAATGTTCACATAGAATATAAAATATATAGGGGGTGGTAGGAGAAGAAAATATTCAAACAGCTCCTGGGAGAACCTTGAGTTTTCCCTGAGGTACGTTTATTGTCTTCTCTGAGGATGAGCGTCCCCATTCCAGCTATAGAGGTGGTACTTCCCTATATTTTATGATATTATATATATATATATATATATATATATATATATATATATATATATATATATATATATATATATATATATATATATATATATATTTATATATATATAAATTATTATATATATATATAAATATATATATATATATATATATATATATATATATATATATATATATATATATTATATATATATATATATATAGTCGTGCCGAATAGGCAGAACTTGCGATCATGGATTAAATAGCACGCTCATCTTGCCATATAAGACAAGCGAAAATTTGTGTATGCAATAATTTCGCCAAAATCATAACGAAAAAAATATATTTCACTGTGTTTGTTTAGTATTAAATTATTGTAAACAAATCTAAAATATTTAGTTGGGTTAGGCTAAAATAAATTGTTCTTGTTAAAATAAGGTTAGGTAAGTTTTCTAAGATTCTTTTGGTGCAAAATTTAAATTTTTTACATTAACATTAATGAAAAAATATATCTTTAAACGTTTTAAGAGAAAATGTTAGAAACGACTTAACTTTAAATGAGTTCTTGCTAATTGACCAGTTTTACATTTTTCGCACGACATATTTATATATATATATATATTTTATATTATATATATATATATATATATATATATATATATATACATGTATATATATATATATATTATATATATATATATATTATATATATATATATATATATATTATTGTAACCACGAACGAGTGGTATTGATCAATAACAACACTGCGCTAGCCAAGGATTCGAACCCATGTTGTACTGGCCTGCCTCATGGTAAGCGAGAACCACATAACGCTTTAAACCACAGGACCACCCAACCCTACAAGAATGGCGTCGCCAGAAATGCTAGCTGTTGGGCCGCCATCCGAGGGCATACGGAGGTGTGGGAGCTTCTAAGCCAATTTCATTCTCATCCTTGTTTGGTGTACTAGCTTCACGAGGAGCTTCGTTCATGGTTACAATAATATATAAATATTGCTCGTGAGGCTAGTACACCAAACAAGGATGAGAATGAAATTAGCTTAGTAGCTCCCACACCTCCGTATGCCCTCGGATGGCGGCCCAACAGCTAGCATTGCTGGCGGCGCCGTTCTTGTAGGGTTGGGTGGTCCTGTGGTTTAAAGCGTCATGTAGTTCTCGCTTATCATGAGGCAGGCCAGTACAACATGGGTTCGAATCCTTGGCTAGCGCAGTGCTGTTATTGATCAATACCACTCGTTCGTGGTTACAATAATATATATATATATATATATATATATATATATATATATATATATATATATATATATATATATCCGTGTAATACACTAAAAATAATGAAATCATTATTTTTGCCTCTCAACAGGTGGCATTTCCGTTCTTGTACGAGATGCCTTTCATCACTGTTGCCACTGTTGGCATGGACCCCACACAGAGTGCTCTTATGGGCAACGTTCTCAATCCAGCCTACACACCTTCCTTAATGGACACGATCCCTCCACCATGGAGTGTTTACCATCGTTTTATCAACACACTGTCCCACATCAGCTACCTGTTTTTCTATTACTACTGGACTTTTGTACCAGCAGTTCAAGAAAAGGTAATATACTATAAGAAAAACACTGAATGATCAATTAATACTGAAGTTGAGAAGGTTCATGTATATTTCCACCATCCTGTGAAGCCTACTTTAGTAGGCTGATGTATATACATATATATATATTATATATATATATATATATATATATATATATATATATATTAATATATATATATATATATATATATATATATATATATATATAATATATATATATATATATATAACTGGGATGCTTGAATGTGCGTGGATGTAGTGCGGATGACAAGAAACAGTTGATTGCTGATGTTATGAATGAAAAGAAGTTGGATGTCCTGGCCCTAAGCGAAACAAAGCTGAAGGGGGTAGGGGAGTTTCGGTGGGGGGAAATAAATGGGATTAAATCTGGAGTATCTGAGAGAGTTAGAGCAAAGGAAGGCGTAGCAGTAATGTTGAAGGATCAGTTATGGAAGGAGAAAAGAGAATATGAATGTGTAAATTCAAGAATTATGTGGATTAAAGTAAAGGTTGGATGTGAAAAGTGGGTCATAATAAGCGTGTATGCACCTGGAGAAGAGAGGAATGTAGAGGAGAGAGAGAGAGATTTTGGGAGATGTTAAGTGAATGTATAGGAGCCTTTGAACCAAGTGAGAGAGTAATTGTGGTAGGGGATCTGATTGCTAAAGTAGGAGAAACTTTTAGAGAGGGTGTGGTAGGTAAGTTTGGGGTGCCAGGTGTAAATGATAATGGGAGCCCTTTGATTGAACTTTGTATAGAAAGGGGTTTAGTTATAGGTAATACATATTTTAAGAAAAAGAGGATAAATAAGTATACATGATATGATGTAGGGCGAAATGACAGTAGTTTGTTGGATTATGTATTGCTAGATAAAAGACTGTTGAGTAGACTTCAGGATGTACATGTTTATAGAGGGCCACAGATATATCAGATCACTTTCTACTTGTAGCTACACTGAGAGTAAAAGGTAGATGGGGTACAAGGAGAATAGAAGCATCAGGGAAAAGAGAGGTGAAGGTTTATAAACTAAAAGAGGAGGCAGTTAGGGTAAGATATAAACAGCTATTGGAGGATAGATGGGCTAATGAGAGCATAGGCAATGGGGTCGAAGAGGTATGGGGTAGGTTTAAAAATGTAGTGTTAGAGTGTTCAGCAGAAGTTTGTGGTTACAGGAAAGTGGGTGTGGGAGGGAAGAGGAGCGATTGGTGGAATGATGATGTAAAGAGCAGTAAGGGAGAAAAAGTTAGCATATGAGAAGTTTTTACAAAGTAGAAGTGATGCAAGGAGGGAAGAGTATATGGAGAAAAGAGAGAGGTTAAGAGAGTGGTGAAGCAATGTAAAAGAGAGCAAATGAGAGAGTGGGTAAGATGTTATCAACAAATTTTGTTGTAAATAAGAAAAAGTTTTGGAGTGAGATTAACAAGTTAAGGAAGCCAAGAGAACAAATGGATTTGTCAGTTAAAAATAGAAGAGGAGAGTTATTAAATGGAGAGTTAGAGGTATTGGGAAGATGGAGGGAATATTTTGAGGAATTGTTAAATGTTGATGAAGATAGGGAAGCTGTGATTTCGTGTATAGGGCAAGGAGGAATAACATCTTGTAGGAGTGAGGAAGAGCCAGTTGTGAGTGTGGGGGAAGTTCGTGAGGCAGTAGGTAAAATGAAAGGGGGTAAGGCAGCCGGGATTGATGGGATAAAGATAGAAATGTTAAAAGCAGGTGGGGATATAGTTTTGGAGTGGTTGGTGCAATTATTTAATAAATGTATGGAAGAGGGTAAGGTACCTAGGGATTGGCAGAGAGCATGCATAGTTCCTTTGTATAAAGGCAAAGGGGACAAACGAGAGTGCAAAAATTATAGGGGAAAAAGTCTGTTGAGTATACCTGGTAAAGTGTATGGTAGAGTTATTATTGAAAGAATTAAGAGTAAGACGGAGAATAGGATAGCAGATGAACAAGGAGGCTTTAGGAAAGGTAGGGGGTGTGTGTACCAGGTGTTTACAGTGAAACATGTAAGTGAACAGTATTTAGATAAGGCTAAAGAGGCCTTTGTGGCATTTATGGATTTGGAAAAGGCGTATGACGGGGTGGATAGGGGGGCAATGTGGCAGACGTTGCAGGTGTATGGTGTAGGAGGTACGTTACTGAAAGCAGTGAAGAGTTTTTACGAGGATAGTGAGGCTCAAGTTAGAGTATGTAGGAAAGAGGGAAATTATTTCCCAGTAAAAGTAGGCCTTAGACAAGGATGTCTGATGTCACCGTGGTTGTTTAATATATTTATAGATGGGGTTGTAAGAGAAGTAAATGCGACGGTCTTGGCAAAAGGCGTGGAGTTAAAAGATAAAGAATCACACATAAAGTGGGAGTTGTCACAGTTGCTCTTTGCTGATGACACTGTGCTCTCGGGAGATTCTGAAGAGAAGTTGCAGAGATTGGTGGATGAATTCGGTAGGGTGTGCAAAAGAAGAAAATTAAAAGTGAATACAGGAAAGAGTAAGGTTATGAGGATAACAAAAAGATTAGGTGATGAAAGATTGGATATCAGATTGGAGGGAGAGAGTATGGAGGAGGTGAATGTATTCAGATATTTGGGAGTGGACGTGTCAGTGGATGGGTCTATGAAAGTTGAGGTGAATCATAGAATTGATGAGGGAAAAATGGTGAGTGGTGCACTTAGGAGTCTGTGGAGACAAAGAACTTTGTCCTTGGAGGCAAAGAGGGGAATGTATGAGAGTATAGTTTTACCAACTCTCTTAAATGGGTGTGAAGCATGGGTGATGAATGTTGCAGCGAGGAGAAGGCTGGAGGCAGTGGAGATGTCATGTCTGAGGGCAATGTGTGGTGTGAATATAATGCAGAGAATTCGTAGTTTGGAAGTTAGGAGGAGGTGAGGGATTGCCAAAACTGTTGTCCAGAGGGCTGAGGAAGGGTTGTTGAGGTGGTTCGGACATGTAGAGAGAATGGAGGGAAAAAGAGTGACTTCAAGAGTGTATCAGTCTGTAGTGGAAGGAAGGCGGGGTAGGGGTCGGCCTAGGAAAGGTTGGAGGGAGGGGGTAAAGGAGGTTTTGTGTGCGAGGGGCTTGGACTTCCAGCAGGCATGCGTGAGCGTGTTTGATAGGAGTGAATGGAGACAAATGGTTTTCAATACTTGACGTGCTGTTGGAGTGTGAGCAAAGGAACATTTATGAAGGGGTTCAGGGAAACCGGCAGGCCGGACTTGAGTCCTGGAGATGGGAAGTACAGTGTCTGCACTCTGAAGGAGGGGTGTTAATGTTGCAGTTTAAAATCTGTGGTGTAAAGCACTCTTCTGGCAAGACAGTGATGGAGTGAATGATGGTGAAAGTTTTTCTTTTTCGGGCCACCCTGCCTTGGTGGAATCGGCCAGTGTGATAATAAAATAATAATAATATATATTATATATATATATATATATATATATTATATATATATATATATATATATATATATATATATATATATATATATATATATATATATATATATTATATATGTCGTGCCGAATATGTAAAACTGGTCAATTAGCAAGAACTCATTTAAAATTAAGTCCTTTCTAAAATTTTCTCTTGTACGTTTAAAGATATATTTTTTTCATTAATGTTAATGTAAAAAATTTTAATTTTGCACCAAAAGAATCTTAGAAAACTTACCTAACCTTATTATAACAAGAGCAATTTATTTTAGCCTAACCCAACTAAATATATTTTAGATTTGTTTACAATAATTTAATACTAAACAAACACAGTGAAATATATTTTTTTCGTTAGGTTCAGAATGATTTTGGCGAAATTATTGCATACACAATTTTCACTTGTCCTATATGGCAAGATGAGCGTTGCTATTTAAGCCAAGATCGCAAGTTCTGCCTATTCGGCACGACACACACACCACACACACACACACACACAATATATATATATATATATATATATATATATATATATATATATTATATATATATATATATATATATATATATATATATATATATATATATGTATATATATATATATTCAGGAAATGCTCTGTGTCAGTTATAAGAAATAAATGCCTGAATAGGAGAATTCACACACGGTATATTAACCGACACTGAGAGTATTTCCTGAGTATTGTGGAAGGTTCTGTGGCACCGCTTGACAAAATGAGGGATTTATTCCCTCTATTTCATTAGTTAGAAGGTTGTTCACATTAGCTGCATTCTTTATGTAAATGATCTACTATTGTAATGTAATTTCTTACGTCACATGACCTGTTCCGAGTGGTTAGAAGCTTAGGGCTGGCTATTAACTATCTCCTTATTTTACTTCATGTCCTCTGCAAACTGTTGGACCTACTCCACCCGACCACATATGGGGTGGGGTATTGAGGGACCGGTGTGTGGTTTACATTCTGCTGGCCTATCTACATATACATACATGTGGTTTAGAGAAACACGTAAGCAACTTGTCGGCCGTTTCCCACCATGGTGGTGGGGGGGGGGGGGAAAGAATAACTTTCATCATTCACTAAATCATTGTCTTGCCAGACGCGAGCTTACACTACAGTTATAAAACTGCAACAATAACTCCCCTCCTACAGAGTGCAGATACTGTACTTCTCATTTCCAGGACTCAAGTCCGGCCTGACGGTTTCCCTGAATACCTTCATAAATGTTACCTTGCTCACACTCCAACAGCACGTCAAGTATTAAAAACAATTTTTCTCCACTCGCTCCTGTCTAACATGCTCACACATGATTGCTGGAAGCTCAAGCCCCTCGCACACAAAACCTCCTTTACCCCCTCCCTCCAACCTTTCCTAGGCCAACCTATACCCAGCCTTCCCTCCACTACAAATTTATACACTCACGAAGTCATTCTGTTTTGTTCTATTCTCTCTACATGACCGAACCACCTCAACAACCCCTTCTCAGTCCTCTGGAAAATAGTTCTGGTAAATAACAAAAAAGGCACAATACCGTTCTGGTAATCCTGCACCTCCTCCTAATTTCCAAACTACGATTTCTCTGCATTATATTCACACCATACATTGCCATCAAACATATCTCCACTGTCTCCAGTGGACGCAGTGCCTAATAGGTAAAACTTGTCCATTAACAAGAACTCATTTAAAATTAAGTTAATATAAAAATTAATAATTTTGTACCGAAAGCACCTTAGGAAACTTACCTAACCTTATTATAATAAACACAATTTAATTTAGCCTTGTCCAACTATATTTAATTATAAACAAACACAATAATTTCTTTTTCGTTAGGTTCAGAATGATTTGTGCACAATTAGTGTGTACACAAATTTTCGCTTGCCCTGTTCGGCAAAAAATGCGTTGCTGTTTAAGCTAAAATCGCAAGTTTTACCTATTCAGAGCGACAAATATGTATATATAGTTCAATGTACTGTACTGAAATACTTATAGTGGTCTAGACTTCATTTCAGTTTTGCCTCGTGGATTCGTGTCAGCCGTTAGTGCTATTTTTTTTTTTTAACTTTGATAAGAAAATACATTTTCTTCAGTCTGCAAACATTTACTGGAAAACACTAAAACAATAAATAGAGAAGCGGCCATAATCTTTAAGAATCTTTTTGATATTGATCAAACGAGTGTTCTAGAACACGGCTTATTTGCTAGAGAGTTCATTATCTAAGCCCTGCCCACTCTAGAATATATTGCTACCTCACAGAGTGTCAGCCATAGCATTCGGCTAACATTCAAGTTGCTATGTAGCATTTAAGAATAAATTGGACAGCAGGTATAAGGAGATTTCCATTTTTCTCACCCCTCCCATGATGCTGTCGGTAAACATTTAGGTACCTATTTAATGCTACGAGCACAGGAGCGCCAGGTGGTTACAAATGCGTAATGCCAACAGTATTGAAGGGAAGATTCAGACGCAGAGCAAGATTAATTTTGATAATTTAGACACATGTGCAACTCTTGGGTATCTTTATTGAGGAAACGTTTCGCCACACAGTGGCTTCATCAGTCCATACGAAGGAGAATCTTGAAGAACAGGAGGAGAATGAGGTAATCAGTCCCTCAACCTTGAGTCGATGTGGTCAGTCAATCAGTCTTGAATAGAATACGGCATACGTGCGGAGAAGGAGCTTATAAATCGTAGGCAGGAGAGGTGCAGCAGTCATAGGTGGTGTCACATTTGAACAAATGTGACACCACCTATGACTGCTGCACCTCTGTGTGGCGAAACGTTTCCTCAATAAAGATACCTAAGAGTTGCACATGTGTCTAATTTATCAACATGTCGGTTCTCTGAACCATTCATCTACAAAGATTAATTTTGAAGTGATAAGCAGAGCAAGCATTTAATCTAACAACGTTAGATTAAATGCTTGCTCTGCAAATTGACAAGTAAACTGACTGACAGAGGTCTACAGCTGCTTTGCGCACACTTGCTCAGCACTTGTATAGCTTTCTCAGGGTCATAAGTGTAAGGAGACTTGCCCATACATCTCGTGCGGTCCAGGATGTAGCTCACAACAGGTCAACATAAGCAGGTACCGATATTTATTGCTTAGTTAACAGGGACACCAGGCGTCAAGACCGGGTTATGCACTTCGGTCTCATGGGATTTGATACTGAACTGCTTCGATTTTAATAATGATAGTAATAATAATAATAATAATAATAATAATAATAATAATAATAATAATAATAATAATAATAATAATAATTACATAAGAAATCTTGATCTCTACAAGTACATGTACAAGGTTTATAGTCCTAGCTGACATCAGCGATATACTACTACATAGAAAGCCTCATGTTATGCTAAGCATTTCGGGCAAATTAGGTCAATTTTGTATCAGGATGCGACCCACACCAGTCGACTGAAAATAACACTCTACCAATCATTTAATAGTTACCTAGCTAAACCCTTTTGCTTTGCATTAATATCAAGACGTATACGCTACCGTCCTGTCTTATCACGTTCACTGTAGCTATTATTATTATTATTATTATTATTATTATTAGTAGTAGTAGTAGTAGTAGTAGTAGTAGTAGTAGTAGTAGTAGTAGTAGTAGTAGTAGTAGTAGGAGTAAAAGTAATAGTAGTAGCAGTAAAAGCAGAATTAGTAATAGTATACTTGTTCAGTGAGAGAGCATTCTTCAAAGTATTCACTGCTGTAGATTCGGGCGTCCAGGTTACTGACCAATAGTACATGTACTGCACACTATCACTGACAGGGCTGCATATATACGTGACCAGGTCACTGCATATTATTCCAGGGTCACGGAGCACTGTACCTGTGGCACCTGATAGATGTGACATTGGTGGTTAAGTGGTTTAAGGCGTCTCGGAATTTAAACAGGCTACGAGGGTGACGTGTTAAAGTATCGAGGGTTTGATTCCCGGTCACTTCAACTTATTATTTGCTAAGAAGCACTTGTTCGTGAATGCATTAATATGTAATAATAAATGCATTCACGAACAAGTGCTTCTTAGCAAATAATAAATTGAAGTAACCGGGAATCGAACCCTCGATACTTTAACACGCCACCCTCGTAGCCTGTTTAAATTAAATAACTAATTGGTGCTAGCCGAGTGTTGCGGCTTGCAGCCGGACAGTGGTAGTATACCAGGTACGACTGCACAAAACATTATTTTGAGTAATAATGGAATAACTGCTCTTACTGAATAAATTTAACTATGCTAAAAAAATTATCGTCGGATCTTATTCAATTTGGCAGATATCAGCAAAGTTCCCAGAGCTTCCGCTGCTTATAGATATAACCAAGAATCAGAGTCTGACGCTGATAAACTCCCACTTCAGTATGACAATGTCATACCCACTCCTTCCCTCCCAAGTGGAGGTGGGAGCCGTCCATTGTCGTCCAGGCAAAGCTCTGCCAGAGGTGAGTTCATCTTATGATCAGTGTTCTTATATTAGTTGCATTAGTTTAAAAATTTTTTACAGTCCTACAATAAAAAAATTATTTTTGTATTTTTTTTTTTTAAGAAAATCAAAGTTCGTAAATAATATAATGTTTTCCTGTTAAAAAAAAATTAAGTGCATTTACAGTTGCCAGTACACCAACTAAACAGAATGGGTGCTATCCTAGCCTTAATATGGATCCGGCATTATATACTGAAGTCATGTATGAGATATAGTTGAAAAACTTTTGATCATGGTGATTAAAATGGAATCAAGCCTTGAGACCGAAATACACCAAAAATTTGGCTCTTCTTTGACTTTCTAGACAATTCTAGCACAAACAGATCTTGTGCTCACTTCATTTTGTTTTCTTCATACCTGTTTTTATGGCACGCAGTTATATTTTCGTACTTATAATGCTGCCACCTTGTTCTGCTTATTGCATATACATGAGACAAACCTTGAATTTGGCACTCGCTGCAATCATATCATATCATTACCCAGTGTAACTTGATGACTGTTATTCTCAAGATTTATAATATCAAAGCCTAAATTAATATTTCCCCACTCATATTCCCTTTTAAATCCATTCCACTAACTAATCCAAGTTTAAAGGCCTAACAACACCGTCAACTGAACTAGCGAGAATGATCCACACATGCCCAGGATAAGTGAACCCAATCCCTAGGATACGTGTCATTTCTACCACAGAAGTGGCCCCAGTTTTCAATGAATGGTACTGCATTGTCCTTAGTGTTTGTCCAGTCAACAATTTATATCATTTACTCTAGAAAGCCGTTCATTTCCGACACCCCTTCTAGGCAAAATGCCACATATAACAGGGCGCCCTCCCTTCTTCCTAATTATGTATATTGCTATCCTATACCTTCTAACTAAATCTTCACTTTTACGGTTGACTACACCCTTGCCTTCAGCACTGAGGCAGATAACAGGATTTATCCCATTACCATTCATGATGTCAAGCCGGCTAACAATATCCTCCATCCCAGCCCCAGGAAAGTAGGCTCTGTCTCCTACTCCTGTCCTTCAAGCAGAAGGCCCTGTCCATGTACCTAATATGACTGTCCCCAACAAGTGCAATGTTTTTACCTTATTTGGTGTTCTTCGTGTCGTTCCCAGTAGTCAACTTACATTCCTCATGTAGCACGGAGAATGGGTTCGAAATTTCCACAGCTGTCTCCCGGTTCTTTGTCATTTCTACCTCTCCATTCGTCCCCCAGATCCTCAGCTTCGTTCCATGCTGCCCAGGCACTGTCTAGTTTCCTTTCCTGATCTGAGAAGTTACAACAGGAGTAATTCTACGAATCCTACAGGAGGAATACTACGAATCCTTCAGGAAGAATATTGCGAATACTTAAGAGGAACACTACGAATCCTTAAGAGGAATACTACGAATCCTAATGAGGAATACTACGAATTCTTATCGCACACACTTAGGCATTGTTGTCTTGGCTTTAGATATCTGCTTACAATGACTCCCAAGTCTTTTTCAGAGTCTGTGTGATCAAGCTCGACATCACCTAGTTTATAACTTCAAGGGTTATTATCCCAAGGACTAAGACTTTACACTCGTCCACATTGAACGGCCTCTGCCACTTTTAAAACCAATACATTAATTTGTCCAAATCCTTCTGGAGATCATTGGTATCCTCCTCCGAATCAATAATTCGGCCTAATTTTGTGTCATCAGCAAATTTACTCATATGGCTTCTAATTTCTTCATCGAGGTCATTAATGTACATTATGTACAACAAGGGGCCTAAAACTGATAACTGTGAAATGCCACTAATAACCGGTCCCCATTCAGACTTGTCTCGATCCATGTTAGAACTTTACATCCTATACCATGAGCTGTCACTTTTCTTATAAGTCTTTTTAGAGGTACTCTATCGAGGGCTTTACTGAAATCAAAATAACAACAGCATATTCTTTACCGTTGTCTATTGCCTCAAATGCCTTACACTAAAACTACAGGAAATTTGTCAGTTACCCTACACCAGTGTTGAAAATTTAAAACTAATCATGAAGCCTTCTCGTATTATTTGCGAAATAAAATTGAAAAGTTGGACAAAAAATTTAGGCTTCGGTTTAAAGGTCTCTTTTCCGTGATGCTAATAATATTTTAGACACACTGGTCATTGAAAACTACTATTTATTTTGCAGTTCTACAATATTTAGTCACCAAGTGATGCCGAGTAATTAACTCATATTTTTACTGGTTATATAGTTACTATTACGCTATTTAATGTATTTTTGACTTTTTAAAAGTTTGTTCTATATTTGATTTATGCTTTCCTTGGTATAAACCTTGGTAATAAATACCGATAAGTTGGTTTAGAAAGACACGTAAGCAAACACTATGACATATTTATTAGAAAACGTTTCGGTCCTGGGACCTTGATCACTTCTAACATACACGAACGAACGAACGAACAAGTTCAGGTAAGATCCCAATGGAATGAGCGGGGAAGACGGGACAGACGAAGAATAGCGAAGGAGAGGAGTGTTCCTAGTTGTAGAAATAGAGCCAGGGCTTAACCCAGCAGCTGAGACGATCGTGGGATAGAGCTGGAGAGAACAGGACTTGGCTGAGAATGTGGACGACGTGGGCAAGCTGTGCAGGCTCCATGGTATTTACATATCCCTATAGGGGGTTTTTAGAAAAAACCGAAAGGGCAATTGTGGGCCTTTTCCCCCCACCGGGGTGGGGGGGGGGGGGGGAAGGGAAAAACCCTTTCATCATTCACTAAATCATTGTCTTGCCGGGACGCGGGCTTACACTAAGTTATAAAACTGCAACAATAATTTCCCCCTCCAAGAGTGCAATACTGTACTTTCTTTTTCCAGGACTCAAGCCCCGGCCTGAGGGTTTTTCCCTGAAAAACCTTCATAAAGGGTTACCTTGCTCACACTCCAACACACGTCAAGCCCTAAAAACAATTTTTCTCCACTCGCTCCTGTCTAACATGCTCCCCCACTTGATTCCCTGGAAGCCTATCCCCTCGCCGAAAAAAATCCCCCTTTTCCCCCCTTTCCCCCCAACCTTTCCTAGGCCAACCTCAAACCCGCCTTCCCCCCATTTAAAAAATTTATACACTCACAAAAGTCATTCTTTTTTGGGTTCAAATTCCCTTTTCTCCCATGACCGAACCACCTCAAAAAACCCCCTCCTCACCCCTCGGGAAAATTTTCTGGTAATCCGCCCCTCCCCTTTTTTTCCAAACTACGATTTCTCTGCATTATATTCAAAACCACACTTTCCCAAACAAACCATACCCCTGTCTCCAGTGGACGCAGTCCCCGAATAGGAAAAAACTTGTCCTTTTAACAAGAACTCTTTTAAAAATTAAGTTAATATAAAAATTAAAAAATTTTTGTCCCAAAAAAGCCCCTTTAAAGGAAACTTCCCTTAACCTTATTATAAAAAACAAAATTTTAAATTTTAAAGCCTTGCCCAAACTAAAAATTTTAATTATAAACAAACCCCAAAAATTTTTTTTTTTTTTCGTTAGGTTCAGAATGATTTGTGAAAAAATTAGTGCTACACAAAATTTTTCGCTTCCCCTGTTCGGCAAAAAGTGCGTTGCTGTTTAACCCAAAATGGGCCAAGGTTTTACCATTAAAGGGGAAAAAATTTGAAATATATAGTGCAATGAAATGTACTGAAATACTTAGAGTGGTCTTTTTAGATTTCCCTTTTCATTTTTTGGCCTCGGGGTTTTCTTTGTCAGCCTTAGTGTTTATTTTTTTTTTTTAACTTTGATAAGAAAATACATTTTCTTCAGTCCCCAAACTTTTCACTGGAAAACACAAAACAATGAATAGGGGAAGCGGCCATTTTTTTAAAATTTTTTTTGATATTGATAAAACCCGAGTGTTCTAGAACCGGTTTAAATTTGAAGAGAGTTCATTATCAAACCCCCTGCCCACTTTTAAAATTATTTTTGGGCTACCTCACAAAAGTGTCAGCCATGGGCATTCGGCAACATTCAAGTTGAATGAAAGCACTTGGGGAATAAATTGGACAGCAGGTTAAGGAGTTTTCCTTTTTTTCTCACCCCTCCCATGTTTGCTGCCCGGTAAACATTTAGGTACCTATTTAAGGGCTACGAGCACAGGGGGGGCGGGGGTTTAAAAATTCGTAATGCCAACATATTAAAAGGGAAATTAAAGCAGGGGCAAGTTTAAATTTTTTGAAATTTAGCACATGTCCCAATTTTGGGGTACCCTTTATTGAGGAAAGGGTTTCGCCACCCCATTTGGTTATCATCCATACGAAGGAAATTTCTTGAAAAACAGGGGGGAAGAATGAGGTAATCAGCCCCCTAAACCCTTTGGTCGATTTGGTAAAGTCAATCGGTCTTGATTAAAAATACGGCATACGTGGGGAAAGAAGGAGTTTAAATAAATCGTGGCAGGAGAGGGGGGCAGCAGTCAAGGGGGTGTAAATTTTAAACAAATGGGGACCCCACCTAGGACTGCTCCCAACCTCTGTGGGGGCAAAAACGTTTCCTCAATAAAAAATACCTAAGAGTTGCAAAATGTGTCTAATTTTTTAAACATGTGGGTTTTCTCTGAACCATTCATCTACAAAAAATTTAATTTTAAAGTGATAAGAAAGAGCAAGCTTTTTAAAAAAACAACTTTAGTTTAAAGGGCTTGCTTTTGGCAAATTGACAAGAAAACGACTGCGGGAGGCCCCTACAGCGCTTTGGGAAACCCTTGTAGAAACTTTTTAATAGTTTTCCCTCGGGGTCATAAGTGTAAAAAGGAACTTGCCCCATACATCTCTTTGGGCCGGTCCAGGATGAAAGCTAAACAACGGGCCCAACCCAAAGCGGGGGACCGATATTTATTGCTTAGTTAAAGGGCCCACCAGGCGTAAGGACCCGGTTAGGGCACTTCGGTCTCATGGGTTTTTGATAGAACTGCTTCGTTTTTTAATAATGATGTAAAAAA